TATTCTGGATGGCCTTTCGCAAAGTGCTTTTTTGTTACAATCACAGAACTGCTATCAGCTTGATGGGTTTGTGAAGCCCAACACACTTTCTTCCCTGCACATTCTGGGTAGAGGAAAAGAGAAAAACTTTTAAGAAAGTCCTTTAAGACTTAAGAAACCACCTCTTTTCCCATCTACCTGCATCTGTTCGTTCTAACAGCTATTAAGAGGAAGTTATGGAATGCATCCTTGACTTGTTGAAGACCTCAGACTTGATGTCTCCATCCCACAATTCACCGCTGTCTTGGCCTCATTCTGAGACATTACACCACTCTAGAATGTTAAAACATAAAAAAACCCAAAAACTTTTAGCCTTTTTTTTTCTACACTAAAAAGAATGTACAGTTATTAGGCAAAACAAAAATGAGGGTATTGTAGTCACATGGGTAGTTGGCTTTTCGATGTCTTCATAACTCATAATATATATTCAGTTGGTGTACTCGGTACAATAAAGCTTTGATTACACAGAAGGCAAAATTTGAGCTTAAACCAAACAACAAAAATGGACATGGACTGCCATGATTATTTAACCTGAGAAGCATAAACAATGGCCCATAATCCCAAAATCCCCCTGCCTCCCACCACAACCTCTGACATCTGCTCTCCAGAACATCTCCTTAATCAGTGAAACATAACCAGCTGAGGCAGTCAAAGTCGTAGATGGCTATAAATTCCTTAGGTACACAAATGGCACAGCAATATCTGACAAGGCTCTCCAAACCCCCCTTATAAGACATAGTTCCCCTGGCCAAACTGCACAAAAATGCTACCCACCCTCCCCAATCTGTGCAAACTAGTACCCACCGCCCATGAGCCGCTCCTTGTGCAACATGCCCGCTTGGGCATCAAACAGCAGTGGATCAGGTGAGAACAACTGTGCGAATCTTGCCATGCATTATGTCATCCTCAGCTAGTTGTGCTTCGACCCAGCCAGAACATCTAAAATTGTAATAAGATTATCCTCCATGATTATTACGGTTATCACTGTCATTGTAGTCTTTAATGCTTTTTGACATCCTGTCCAATAAATGAAACAAAGACACAAATAGATTAATATTTGGATATTACATACATGGTGCTTTTAAAGTCATGGAAATGTTTTTTAGACACGTTCTCGCTGTAGTGTCTGTCAGTGGAGTCACGATTGGGGCGGAAGCAATAAACAGCGCTAAATGGAAGATGACAGAATCTCCTCACTGCAATCAACTTTTTACGAGGAGAAAATTTTAACGTTGTATTTACAAGGTGAGGTGTATTAGACAATCTCTGGACAAAGATCTTATGCAACCTTTTGGTTCTAAGAAATGTCCACAATAAAACAGATTCCAACCAACAAGTATTCAAGAATCATTTCTGAAGCTGGAATGGAAGCCACCTTTTGAAGAATCCTCCCAATCTCCTTTTAAGTTAAGGCACATTCTCTCCAAAATCCTTCTTCACTTGTCAAGCTTCAAGACTCTGCCCCTGACTCATTTTGGACCCACTGAACAAAGCTTATGCCCCCCTCCAGATCAAGCCAATGAGTCGGTGCGAACTCACCAAGACCTCTAATAACTCCACCAAACTGCTACACAGACACAGACACCAAGAATAGTCTTTTCGTAATCCTAGTCTTTCCCTACTTTGGTTTTCAAAGAGTTAATTGCAGATGTAAGTATAGGGAAGTGAAGTGGAGATTAAACAGACTCTGTGTTCACAAAAACTGAAAGGCCTTGCCCGGTTCTCCAGTCCCCCTCCTCCAAGGACAAGGACATGAGTGACTTTTAGTGCAAAAAATCTTTCTCAGCTAAAGCACTATTTCCAGTGCTATCAGGCTTTGTACCTCCCTTCCCCTCCCACCCACCTAACCCTCCCTATTATCCACCACCATTTAACCCTAAACCCCACAAACACAGCTGGCATTATCTTTGCTAGAAAACAAACAAGCTGCAGCAACACATTTTACAATAAAACAAATGAAAGCATTGCAAGTTTAAAACTCTCACACTCAATATCACAGAAAAAAAAAACAATAGACAGAAAGGGGACTCAAGTAGGCTTTTCCACAACAATTCCACTCCAACTTCTGCTTCTATAATGAGGGAGAATAAATTTGGGTCGTGGCAGGAGTACAAATACATCCAAAAACAAATCTAAAAGCTACCGTGATCTTCTTATGGAATGAATGCAGGCGATGAGTGAAACAGTTGATAAGAGATGGTCTAGGTCAATATGTTACCACACACCCTTGCAGGCATGTGATGCATTATTAACTGTGTTTTGGGGTGTGAAAAACAAAAGCTCTCACACTGGAATTTCCAAAAATATTATTTCAGCCATGTCGTCCAGTCACACAAAATCTTCCTTCGTAACTTACAGTAGTGTGATGCTTAGGGTGTGACCTTCAACAACAAATTTAAAGTGAACACTACTTAACCAGCGAAACAAACTAAACAGGAGTATGTAGTTGTAGATAATTGTCATAAATCCCTGCAGATGCTGCCACACCTTACACTCTTCTGTGTTAAGACAAAATAGAGAACTTTTCAATCAACTTTAAGTGCAATTAATCATTATGCTTTCATATTATCCTTTGTTACTCTTTCATCAACAATTTTAACAAAATCTTCACCCTGTCCTTTCTCTTGAGTGACTGCGCTTTTTTTGGCAGCTCGGTGTCAAGACCTAAACAAAATCAACACTTATGAACAAGCCAAAATAATAATAATTACTATTTAAAAAAAGAGGAAGTATAAGTATATAAGAGTTAAGTATCACCACTTGGATGGGCCTTTTTGTTTAGCACATCTGCTCTTTTACTTGAAAGTACCCGTTTCTTTTGACTTAAAAGTGCCCTTCTCAGTAACAAAGTGCATTCAAATCTTGCTTCTTTCTTATTAAGGTGCGAAAGGCCGATAAACAGGGTACAGCACTGCAGAAGGAATGATGCCACAAAATTGCATCTTCTAATTCACCCTGAAACAAAACTGTGCATCCACGGCTGTAACCACTGCAATTGTACACACCGAGATCCACTTGAAAGGATCACAAACTGCTTTTAGAATGCATGCGCCTAGGAATTTTCTTTCAAATGTGCCACTTTATCAGCTATAAAAGGCTCCACCTTAGTCAAGTCTTGTCCTCATACATGCCTTATTTAAATGGGAGTCCTAACTTAACCAAAGCACCCACTCTGCTGGATTTTGGGGAGAGCCTGTCTCAACGTGCCCACAAAGTGCCTGCTGATGCTCCAGGCCCCTCTCAGTTAGTAATCCTGCTCTGATGTGGCCATAGGATGTTGCTGCACCCTGCCTCACCAGTGCAAGGAACCACATATTACTTTAAAATAAAGGTCTCAGTTTTCAGGACACTTTCTTTCAAAACTTCGGCCAGTCATTTTTTCATTGTGAAAAAAGTGATAAAGTTTGTATTACTGATCCCATTTTGTATCTATATACATTTCATTCATTAATGATGCTCACATTTCACACACTAAAAACTGGACCCTCCTTCTTACGCTGCTACAGCGGGGTGCTTATTTGGAATTGGACATTAATTTATTGCTCATCTTATCGCTCAGGTTGTTTCAGATTTTTTTTCTGTGGTCCCTTGGGCTAAGAAATTGAATAAGCACTTTGTATCTCCCCAACCCAAACTGTCTCTTTAAATATTATATTTCTCTATCTCTGTTGGATATCTTTAGTAAAGCTGTGCAAATGCATAAAAAAGGTGCTCACTCTTTATCTCTCCTTCTGTCACTGAAACAAACAAACAAATAAAAGATTCCCTGCTTAAGTTGTTCACCAGCCGTTTGTATAAAAGCGGTGCCCTCACTCATCTGTTGCATACAGTTTCACCCTCCTGCAGAAAGACTCAAAATGAAGCACATTATCACAATTCATACATTGGGTGGAAACCTCTGGGTTCCATTAAGTGCAGCTTAGGAAAAAATGGGTTTCTCAATTATAATGCTCTAAAACATCAAACAGCGTATTTCCCTCTGCAAACTTAACGCAGTGAGAAACCTGGAGTGAAGCTGAAGGATGATGTAACCCTATATATCTGCAATATGTGTCTTATAAAGGGTCTCATAAGATTACAACCTAATATATACACACGTATACAAATATAAAGTGTCAAGTACCTAAACTAGTCAACTCAAAGGACAAAAGAAAAATCAAATGACAAAATATTAAGACAATCCCAAAAATAAGAGAGAATATAATGCAAGTAAGACTGCCAATAAGGAAAAGCAGGCATGTGAGGGGTTAGATTTAACATGATTGTGTCCAGTGGCAATCAGATGAAGATAGTGCTTTAGAAACACAGGACCTCATCCCTTGTTTTACCCTCTCTCCCTGTCAGAAACAAATTAACGAAATCTCCCCATGTAGATTCGACTCAAAACGGTAACCTGTTACACCACGAAAAGATAAACTCTCAAAAACATCTTTTATAGAGAAAGTAACACTTTAAATCAAACCCCTGTCCAATTCTTTCTGGAACATTTAGAAAAAAGGTGCTGCATCAGAATATTGCATATATTGCAATCTGAGACAATATAATTTTTTATAGTGTATGTACATGTTGCTCATTGCATTAGAAAAAGAGATCTATTGGTTGCATTGATCACATCTTAGACCATTCATAGCTAACCTGTTGAAGCAGAGTCAGCCTGGTGTTTGACACCTTACTTTTTAAGACAAGGCCATGTAGATGCAACCCAGAGATGAGGAACTTGTTTAATCTGCATAGTAGCTTTTTCTCGTACACACATGGCTACGCCATTATAACAGACCAGTAAATTGGTGGTTAAGTCTCTATGTGGAATGCAGAAGCTAAAAAAAAAGGAGGAAAAAGAAACTAGAAGATTAGATTTGAGTGCCACCCTGATTTGTTTTTTAAAGAGGACCATGTAGTTTTAAGTTTTTTTTTTGGTTTGTTTTTTTTTCTCTTATTTTTCTGTTTCATTCTTCCTCTTGTTTTTGAGTGAAGCCCTCTCTGAAGAAGTTTATTCATGTTGTTGCAGAGTTCCTTTGTCCCGAGGTCAAATCTTCACTACCTTCCCCATCGGCAACCGGACTGTGCGTGTGACTACCGTGATTTTCCTCCATGACTGATGTTCCGGTGCCCCTGTCCGGATGCCGCTGACCTCTCTCAATGTCTGCTTCTGGGCCATGAAGTTCCATAGGACCTTCCAGGAGCTCAGAATCTCGTATGCGTGGCTTGCGGCCTCGACGGGAAGGGATGCCGTTGCAGCCATCTTTCTTGAGATGGCGGTGGAGATGGTCTGAGCGCACAAAGGTTTTAAAACAGCTGGAGCACTGGTAGGGGCGCAAGCCTGTGTGCACACGCATGTGATTCTTCAGGTCGTAGTTGTGGGCAAAGGCGGCACCACACTGAGTACACAGGTAAGGCTTCTCTCCTGTATGCTTGCGCATGTGAACCTTTAGCTTGTCCTGCCTGAAAAAGAGCATACAAAAACTTCTGATGAGCCATTACCCATGGGTTTGTGCGAATTAAATTAACAGTAGCACTTTATTTTACATTCCTGTTCCGCATGTACTATTTACTTGTTATAGTAATTACAATAACTGGGTATGAACCCTGAACCTACTCCTAAGCCTACCCTAACCCATGTAGTTACCTTATTTCATCCAGTACTTTCTTAGGTAAGTACACTGTAAGTTCAGGTAAGTGCACATACTCTAAAATAAAGTGCAACTGAATTAACAATGAAAGACTCAACAGCAATTCAAGGTTAGAAAATTAACAAAACAATACCATGATAGACGAGTACATGCCTAATACACTTTATATACTTATAATTCCTTAAAATGCCCACTCCCAAATTACTTGATGTGCCAGAAAGACAATTTATGACAGTGGGGTGAGTCACTAACTACTACTACTAATGGCGCTTTTCCACTGCGTGGTACGACTCGGCTCGGTACGGCTCAGTACGGTACGGCACGGCTCGGTTCGGCTCGGTTTGCGTTTCCACTGCAGTTTAGTATCGCTTTAGAGTGGGTGGGATTATTCACATGTCATTATAGTTGCGCCGCCTCTACTGCCGCGACTCCTAAAAAACTTTTTCATTCCGCGTCGCCCCATCAAGCTCTCACTGGATCCGCTCCTCTGCTATCAACGAGAGCAACGTCTGTACTTCCTCAACAGGGGGAACAGCCACTTTTTGGTTGTTAAAAAAAGGTGCGCTCGTTCAAAACAGTTGCATTTGATCCTTCGCTGGCTGTGCTGATTTAAATCTAGCGGTTCTTTTGTGTTTGTGTCGCAAGTTCAGTGACGCAGGTAGTGACGATTCTCTCCGGCCAATCCGTGATCAGCAGAGTTTACACGTCACGTTTTGGTAACGGTACGGTTCGCTTGGAACCCCAACCGAAGTGGTACTAAAAAAAGTACCAGGTACCAGGTACTGTACCCAGTGGAAAACCCCCCAAAAGTGAACCGTACCAAGCCGTACCGTGCCGTACCATGCAGTGGAAAAGCGCCATAAGACACACCGGTAAGGTTAGCCACACAGATCATTAGCAAAGGCAAACATGCACACATATATTACATAAAACTACATATAAACACAAAAATATAAGGATGTAAATACATATATCTGTCTGTTCTTGCACATCAAAGACAACGTGTATTCTCAAAAGGAGTCTGACCTCCTTATCTTTACTTTTAAGAGTAAAGTCAAGTTTATTTTTCATTCTTCTGTGCTGAAAGCACCCAAGGTCATATGAGGAAAAGAGCCATAAAGTTCACAGCTTTATCACCATAATTTGTTTTTAGGCCAATGAGGCACTGAAGGGCTCAATGTTCAGTTCAGAGTCATAGTGGACCCTAAGCTTCCAAAAAAGAGCCATTTTAAAATGGTGAATGTGTTATAAGATTTACAAGCAAAATTTAAAATCTTCAGTGGCAGCCGAGTTAAACTGAGGAGAGATTTTAGTTTATGGGAAGAAACCAATGTAAGATCGAAAATCAAAAGGTGTGCTGGGTTGAGGAACAGGTTTGGAAGAATGTGGTTTAACCTTTAATGTCTTTCCTCAATTGTCCAAACATTTCAAAGCACCATTAACAGTGTATAAAATATAACAATTGTGTAACTAAATTTTGCACTGTATATTTTATAAATGTTCATCTAACAAAACTAACTTTCGTGTTTGTCATCAGTTTATACAGATTTCTGACACATAGGGCTGGGTATCGAGTTCGATACTTTTTAGGCACCGACCGAATTGCCTCGATACCATCGAGTATCGAAAAACGTCTCGTCGTTCGGTACCAAATTTCGGTACCTAAGGGGTTAATCTCATTAGCGTCAGTGAGCCAATAAGCCTGCAGCACTAGCCGGTGTGTTCGACTAGAAGAGGTGTGGCGCAGATCGATCAGTGTTTGACATCCGCGAGAGCGATTCGAAAGCGCACAGAGCAGTCTGCTCTCTTTAGCTCTCGTGGTACTGTAATACACCGATCGGTCTGCACAGTCGGTCCGCGTCAAGTCGAACACACCTACTAGTTTACACCGGTTACACTCAGAGATGTGGCGCACACGTGAGGCTGTAGTGCGAATGCGTCCCAGCCCCCTTAGATGTAAGGCTACATTTACACTGGTGCGTTTGTTTTAAAATGAAAACGATCTCCGACAAGCGACAGACCGGTCAATCATTTCCAATGGAGAGTAGCGCGGGAGCTGCGTGGAGTTCCGATCATATGCAGATGTCTGTTCATACTAACGTTACACGACCGAAAGCGCGTTATGTGACCATCCATGCAAACTATAAATAAAATAAGACAATAAATACAATTTATATTCCACTTTTACTCAAAACTCACTTTAAACCACCATCAAGTGTTTGCAATAACTTCCGATTGCCGTCTAATGTGTGTTTTGGCCATATAATGTTGCTGAAATTAAATATGTTATTACCTCTGAGTCAGAACAGCGATCATGGAAGAGAGAACACAGGCAGACAGCGCTGGAAGCTGCTAATGCTCATCAGTAAATCAGTGGAAAAAAATTGAAATCATGATTCTGTCTGAGCTATGCGTTTTAAAACGAACACGCACTAGTGTAAATGTAGCCTAACAGATGTGTAAACTGAAGACAATTTGAGCTTTATTAAAACTATTTTGCACTGATTTATTGTGCAAATAAATTTATGTGGTTACATTTTGTTCCTTTGTGCAGTGGCTCAGGAGATGAGTCTTTGAGTTTGTATAAACATCAACAAGCTAAAAATAAAACCAAAGTTTTTTTTTTTTTTTTTTAGATAATGTAATCTTGTTAAAATTGATTTTATAAAATTGGTATCGAAAAAAGTATCGTTCAGGAACCGGTCTCGAAGTCAAGGTATCGATATAGAACATTTTTGAACGATACCCAGCCCTACTGACACACCACCTGAGGCAAACTGGTCTGAATGGCTAAAGTGTAGGCTTTCTTCAACAAGAGACAGCATACTGTCAAAGTGTATTGTTTTGCACCAATAAGGGAGCTATAGTGTGGTGTCAAATGCAAGGCCCTCTGTTGTAAGACTCTGCTCTCATCTTACCCTTCTTTGTCCCTCCCCCTAAGCTTGTGACTGGGGCAGAGTACAGCTAAACAAACTAGGGTGGTTGACCCATCCAGAATACTGGAGGCTTACAGAACACACATACGCACCCACATGCGTCCATGGACAGACACACACACCCGAGAATGTAAACACAGACATGTGCACACGCTAACGCCTACTTGTGTATTTAAACATGTTTGAATGTATCTGGAGATTCTCTCACTCATAATTTCTAATCTTTCCTCCACTTTCGCATACATTCACCAAAATACAGATATATACATACACACCTGTCAGAAAATGTGTTTTCTCACACACACACACAGGTTTGTTTTTGTGAAAAGTGGGGACATCC